TCCTCACCGCAGCTAATCCTCCGACAAAGAAGATGGTGGTCTTTCGAAGAAGCTAGTCCGGGTTTCCCCAAGCCCCAACGAACACATTTCGTACCGTTCTTGTTGCCAGCACGAAACCACAAAGAGCAATTCGTTGGTCATAAATTTTCCAAGCGGTTTTAATTGCCAACAAAGCCGCTTTGAAAAAAAAAACCTAGAGTGCACTCCCTTGTGCTGTGTGAAATGGACCGAAACATACATACATATAAAACTCATAAGTCTCGGTAATATGCATATATGCATATAGAGAAAGTGTATAGAGAAAGTGCATAAAGCTCATGTATGCATAAGGCTAGAAGTTAATCCTTTCATTGCTTACGTTGTTCGGCTCTCGAAGTCTGTGGGAGAATTTCGAATGCAGCTACATTTAACCATTCAATAATGATTAATTGGCGGTAGAGAATCTGCAGCTGAAACAACCTCTTTGAACAGTGTCTTTATCTTATCTTAATTAATTATCTAAAACAAATTTGAAAAAATAATAATTAAACTGTCAGTTGCATCGGAGTGCAGAAACCAGCTCAACTCTCCCTCTCTTTTCTGTCATTCGCTGTACGGGAATGGGTTAAAATATTTTTTCCCCGTTTAAATGTTAAATGCCTCTTGGTCAGGAGACATGGCGGACTCCCTTCTAGGCTTACACTTAATTAAAAGGGCATCCGGCCAAGGCAGCAGACAAAATTCTTCATCTGCCCACTGTGGCTCCGCCCCCAAACCTTCACTTTGCCCCTCCTGCTTCGCCTGGTGTGAGTAAGCGAATTCATTTCCCGCTTTTGGCCGTTGATTGATATGCCAATGAAGCGAATGCCGAGCTCCAAGCTGGAGAGCTGTAAGCCCAGACCTAGACACAGGCACAGACCCCAGCGCGGATGTAGAGCCTGGCTGCCGGACCAAAGAAGAAATGTTGAAAAAATCTAGTTCGTTAGTTCTTATGCAAAGCGGGACAATAGCATACATTGCGGTCCAGTCGCCGACGCAAAATCAACAAAAATGCAGATGGGGCCAGATAAATTGGCAAAGTGAAGCGCCAAGCACCCAAATCCCAATCGCTTTTAGTTCTCTTCTCTTCGGCTCGTCTCGGTTGAGGTCTGTGGACTGGCCAACAATTTGGATTATATTTTTTAAAGGGCCCCCTCGACAAACCACAAAAAAAACAAAAAAAGGGCAAGGATGTTGGCAAGAGAGGTGAGTAAAATGGTGTGTAGCACTAAAATCAAAGGCCTTTTGGCTTTCGATCCTCTTGCGGTTTTAGAGGAGGATGCCTGAATGCTCTACAGCTGATAGTGACGAATATTAGGAGCAATCATATTTTTTTAATGGTAACAAAATGATGCAATGCACAACATTGTATTAATAGAAAAAATACTCTGAGAATACTGAGCAGAAATGTTTCTGTAAAATATTTTGTTTTAGCTCAAAAAAATAGGCCCATGTTCCATTAGTTTCTACAAAAAATTTCATACTGTAATGTTGAATCCAATTTAAAGTATCTGCGTATCAGCATTCAAACTACAATGATTTAAATTTAAATTAACTTCAAACTTTTCCGTAACTTTTGAATATTTTATGGAGCGATCTTTAGCTAAACTTCACAAAATTAATTTAATTATAATCCGTAGTTTTCCTTTCCTCCAATCAGAGACATTCCACTTTAGGGCAAACTTGCAGGTCGAGTGCAGGGCATTTATCAGCCGTTGAATTTCGCCAGCGCCTCTTACTGTCTTTTTTTGGGCGCAACATGAGAGGGCGTGCTTGATTAATTGCAGACTGTGGTTAAATCCTTTTTTGTGCTGATTTCGGCAGTTTTTCTGCGGTTAGCTCTGCTTCTTTCCCCCGCTTGTACTTTCGTGGAGTATGAACACGTAAGCAAAAATATTTTACAGCTGGACAGGGCGGAAACACAATGCTCAGCCCGCGGACAAAAGGAGAGTAGACACCGCGAAATTGCCCGAATAAAAGTGCCTATTGCTGGTGGTCTGATCATCCTGCCGTACTCGTATATCTGTTACGGCTACAACTCCTGCTCTGGGTATTTTTTCTGCTGCTGAGAATTAGCAAAAGCCCGGGACCATTTATCAATTGGATGCAGCTGTGGGGCACTGCACCCAGCCCCATTGCCAGTCGTAGAATCTTAAAGTATGCGCTATATTATTTACTGCATACATTTCGTTGCTTTGGTTGCTCGGTAGGGAGGATACGAGTATGATACTCATGGCAAAAAATAGGAGAGAAAGAGGACTTGGTTCGGTTGTGGCGATTTCCGCCTGGCATTTCTTTTGCAGACACTTCCTGGTCTAAGGATTTCTGGCCGCCTCCTGGCATGTGTGCAAAGTTACTGCCCACATCCTGTCTCCTGTTTCGCTTCGCTGCAGATATTTTTCATTTTCGAAAAAATTTCCGTTATGATTTCCTCTCCGCCGATGTGCCGCCATGCTCCCACACAATTCGGAGCAGTTTTCCGTGCTCGTTTTTTCTCTGCAGAAATTTGAATACGACAAAGCAGCGCATAAGATTCAGATAAAGCCAAACTGCCAGTTGCCATGAAGTTGAGCGGTGCTCCAGCTACAGCTCCAGCTCCAGTTCCCGCTGCAGTCCTTCCGTCCGTTCGCCCTTCTACTTATTTGACTTTTCATTTTTATGCTAAACTGTTTCCTCTCTGCGGACAGGCCGCATTTCATTTGCACAAAAAAACTTAGAACTTAGCCCTATCCGAACCATGTTCTGAAGCGGAAAACGGAAGTTATATCGTCCGTGCGGCGAGCGGCGGGTAACAGCAGATGGCATGCGGGAGGCGACACCCGATCCTTGAACTGTGCGGGACTCCACTCATCAAAGCACTCTCGATATGTTAATTACCACTCAGAGAATGGTTGTTTCAAGAGCGAACCCAGTGGAACAGAGCAGAGCTCGACTCGACTCGATGAATCAACTCTTGTGCAACAGGATACCATACCCTTTTCCCGCTTTTTCTTTCTTCTGCAGCAGCGACAGCTGAACAAAGGCTGAATTTCCCTTTTGCTTAGAAAATTTCAATAAGAGCTGCCCTGAAAAGTTTTTGCCACACACACACAGCCATATAGACAGACAAGTGGTACAAGGAGCTAAAAGTTCTACAAGAACGCAGCAAAGCAGAGCAAGAACGCCATACTCGTACCAATCTCTGTGTGAGGCTCGGGCTAAGAAAATGTAATAAATTTCTTTACAAAAACGACCATAAATTTCCTACTCTTCCCCACTCTATCTCTCTCTCTGTCGAAGAGTAAGACAACTAAAATATGAAAACAAAAAGGGGAAAATGGTGTAGGAGCAGCATGTGATAGGCAAACGAACCAACCATCCAGCCAGCCAGCCTATCTATCCATCTATCTATCTCTCTTTTGCAGAGTTTTTATAATTGCTTCAACAATATACGCAAAACATTTTGCATATTTAATCAACTTTTCTGTTTTTGGCCTTTATTTTAAGTTTGATTTAGATTTTTGTTTTTGTTTGTCGCTTTATGCAAAACTTAATTTCGATTATGAATTTTAGACAAAGGACACAGACAGAAGCAGAGCCAAAGGGCAGAACAAACGGTGGGCATCAAGATCTTTGTTTAGGTTTATTTACACTCGGGACTATCCTGCTTCGAATGATCTCCAGAACAATGGGGAAATTTCCATTAAAGTCTGAAATTTGTTCGCCACAAAAAACCGTTCCATGTTACCTATATATTTGTGTATCCTCATTCCCCCAATTGAGTCGCAATTTTTCACGCCAATTTCAACACTGTTTTCACCAATTTCAATTATATAGTTTGCATTTGCAGCTAATTCACTTTTCCTGGGACGAGGGAAAATCAGAAACCTAAAACATACGTTCCCTTCACGCATTAACAAATTTACACGTGTTAAGCATTTAAGGGGGTGAAAATTATACTAAAAATAAATAATCACAAATTCTGAAATAAAGCCCTTAATTTATTGACTGTGAAAATTGTTATAAATTTGCAAACATTTCGTTTACAGTTTTCCAGCCCAATGCCAGCCCTGCTGGCTGCCTGGGGACTGCCCAAATCAACACAATTAGAGGGAGAGATAGAATGACTTTTGCAAAAATTATTTATCAAAATTACAACAAATGCCACATAGAACAGACAAACAACAAACGATGAACAAACAACAAAATGCAGTTTATTCAGTTTGCAGTGGACCATGCTAGGGTGCGAAGGAGGGGTCTTTATTCTATAGAGCGGCGACATGCAAAACAAAATTAAATTTCAAGGATAGAGCTGATATAGTATATATGGGGGCAGTGTCAATATATGACACTGAACTGTGAACTGTGAACTGAATAAATAAGATAGTAATATGGATGTCGAAGCTTTAAATACCCTTGCAGATCCATCATTTGTGTGGAAACCATTTCATATAATCATCTGATTTGGAAATCGAATTTTAAATACGTTTTACAGTATATTGAGTTTGTTTGTATATTCTTAATACCGAACACAAGCAATGCACTAATAAGCTATAATTTGTGTCCCTACAATGATTGGAATATTTCTGAAAATATTGGTTATGGGTTTGGCAACTGGGAATCCTATTTCATCACACTTTTGGATGCTAACAAGGGTTTTTTCTTGGCCTATTTTTTTTGCGAAACGAAGCTCTTGTTTAATTTGTTTAGTTCCCGCAATTCAGGTATTCATAGTGCTTATTAAAAGAAAAATCGAACCGACTGGCAGACATGTCCTATCGACTGTTGTACTTTAATTATTTAATTCAAAACCGCTGCAAGGGTACTATAGCAAACCAGTTTCTGTTTAGCCATCCGATTGGTTATTCTTGGATTATTGTCTGGGATTGTATGCAAATCTAGTGAACAGAAAGACACACAACAATTAATACATAAAACACCGAAACACAAATTTTCGAGAACTACTGTATACAGCGGGAGAGATCGGGATCCCTGGCTCTTACCCCTGATATGGCCTGTTTGTCATTGAAGAGCGTCGTCGCCTGTGCGGCGGATGAGGTGGGCGAGCTGGCCGCCGTGGCCGTGGAGCTCTCCGGTGTATAGTAGGTCAGGAAAGCACAGCCTGCAAAAAGAAGATGGAAGGGAAATATATTCTCAATTAATGGTGGAATTACAAATTTATTTTAAGTGTGAGTTCAGGAGTACATATAATTACAATTACCAAAGCATTTAAAGGTATATGTATCAGGAGTGTCGAATTTTGGTTTTGCCCACTATTAAACTTGATATTTTTTTAACTGCTGCAATTTTTAATTTTGTGTGTTCCTCCACCAATTTTATCTATTAGTGTCTGCCCGAATTTTCATGATTATCCCTGTTTCATATTGTTGCTCAATTAAAGCTTTACTTTGTGATCTTGGCGTAAATGGCTGGTGACTTGTACAGAGGGGTTGCGGTACGATGTGGTTTATTTTCGCTAGAACCGCACATAATTTCAAAGCTTTCTACGCTTTGCGTGTGGAACGCGTCAACATGTTTAGCACAGTTTTGTGGCCATTTTCATAAATCCGTGTAATATTTCCTCCTTTTTACTGTCGAGCTGTGGTGACTGTCAGGTGTCGGGCCGTCCTCTACACCGTCTCCCTCATTAACTCGCACACCCCTGCTCAGCGAACCACACGGCTCCAACAGGAGGAGGACCCCGTGTCATGCCAGACCGATTTGCCAACGTGGAGTCAGCCAACACAAATCCCATCTATGACATGTGGTTCTAAACGCCACCCAATCCTGCCCCTCAAACCGGTTGTCTGCTCAGCCCCTCCCTCCCCATCAGGTGCAACAACAATTATATTTAATTTTTAGGCACGTTTAGGACAAGCCTGGACGCGTTCGAGTGTATTTTTGGTGGCCTTTTGTCTGGCAACAGACCCCTGCACCACCGGCCACAGCATGCAACACGTCAAAAGTTGAACGACAAGTGTTGACTGTCAGCGCCATCTAAAAACATAAAAATTGTCGGCACATTGTGGAAATTCCAGGAAATTATTAGGAGCTCTGTAGCAGAAAAGCGGAAGAGAGGCAGGTTGACAGTAATTAAAATTAGTAAAACATAAAGGAAACAGCAACGAGCACAAAAAGGTTGACCAAAGGGTCTGGTCTGGTCTGCCTAATGAGTTTATTAATTAATAAAAATCACCCTCTTGCTCGCATGGAATTTCCCAAGAATGGCATTCGGCGCCACACACTAATTGCAGGTCTCCAGTGAAAAATAGCAGCGAACTAACCAGCTACAGAGGACAAGGCATGTACGGGTTTCATATATTCATAAATGGGTCGATATCCTATTTTTATATAGCTAAATGCAATGGGGAATATCCGCTATAGACTTTCTTGGCTAATGTCCTAGCTAGAAATACACGAAGAGCTACGGCACAAAATTATTTCCTTAATTTCCTGCGGCAGATAAACAAAGCGTATCAAAGGGCATAAAGAGAGTAGCGGGTCTTAGTTTTCTTTTGTACTTGAATATTTTTTGGCAATTAACTGTGCTCCGATTAGCTCTCCGACCAATGTGTGTTGCATGCAACGGCATCATTGTAAAACTCATAAGTGCCCAAATGAGCTTTTCATTGGCAGCTACATATGTATGTACATATGTTAGATCACGCTTTGCGCATTAGATTTCCATTAAAAGCACAACAAATTAACTATAAATTATTAATTTACACTTCAACTTTCTGCAGCCACATCAGCACAGCGGCAACTGAGTGTAAAAGAGCAGCCACTGCTAGCTAGAGAGACTTTCCTAAACACAACGAAAACAAACCAAAAAAAAAAAGAGAGGACAATCCAATCTCAGCTACAGCCTGTACATACGAGAGTCGTGTGTCAAGAGAACAGCAAGAAAGTTAAACCTTAGGCGAGCCGAAGTCTGCATATCCTAACTACGTGGGTCTAAGGAGGAGTGGGAGGAAGAGAAAAATAGTGTATACAAGGTATGATATAGAAACATGCTCTTCAAAATAAATAACATAATAAGCAATAAAAACATACAAAATCATTCTCTTTAGCTTGCTCCTTTTCTGTTTTTCTTCCTCTTCTGCTCTCTGATGTCACGCTCCATGCGAATGGAGAGCGACTTGTTGCTGCTTTTGCATTCTCTCGCTCTCCACTTACACACACCGCAATGAAAAAACGAACGAACATATTTGAGACATCTGCAGACAAAACGGAACCATGGAACCGATGGAATCTCAGCGGCTTTTTGCTCAAGAAAAAAATACGGTATGTTCAATATAATTCTATTACATTTACAACACACTTGTATTACTTTGATTGACCACATATTTCACATATTCCGCATTTGGTTCGTCTCGTAGTAGATCACAGAACTTATTTACTTCTCATCATAAAACACTACGCGGCAATATTTTCCAATATTTTAACATTTCGCGCACTTTTTACTGTTGTGCAGCTGAGTAGCAGTCAAATGATCTCTCTCATTCCATGCTCTCTCTCTCTCTCGCTCTGTTTCTTTCTTCTTTGGTCGCTCTCAGGGGCGTACGCAAAGGGGATACTTCTTCGTATTAAAACAACTTTATATATAATTTCCATTGCAGTTTTGTTTGATTTTGTTTGTTTCAGTGATTTGATTTGATATGGGAAAATAAAAAAACCCCCTTCGCATAATCTTGGGTACGCCCCTGCTCGCTCTCATTGCGAAATCGGTGCAATTCGTTTCTGCTCTTCTCCAAATGTTTCTTCTGCTACCGTGTCTCTCTCTCACTAATTCCATTTACCGTTATCAGCCATCCCGTTATGTCTCTTGCGCGTAAATCTTTGCGTACAATGATGGGGTGATATTTTGCTGGCATTGCTGACGTGTGCTTCCCCCCTTTCCACCGCCCCTCTTTTTTTGATTTCAGCTCTGTCTTGTTTGCTCTGTGTGCCGTTACGACTGACTTACAATCCGAAGGTGGATCTGCGCTGGTTCTGCATGGCTCGCAGCATGTCAAAAAATTATAGTTTGAAACACATCGCATTCTGCCATGTTTTGCCAATTCTTATATGAGAACTGTATCCGTAGAACCAAAGACAATATAAGTATACTTATATTGTCTTTGGTAGAACCCATGAGTATGAAAATGTTTGTGCAAACTTTAACGCGCGATCCTTCTTTTTTATTTTTGTCTGTATGTGAGGGACTTTTATCACACATCCACGCCAACAAAAAGGTTTCTCTATAATGGGGAAAGGAGCAAAGCTGCTAACGATTTTTAAAATGCAACTTTTATGACCTGCCAGGGAACCACAGTGACTCACAAGCACTTGGAGAAAAGCAGAAGTTCTTTGTATGGAAAAGCAAGGAAAATATTTCGTGTGCATTCGATAGACCTTTCTCTCAGTGCACCTCTGTCCCTCTTTTATTGGTGTGGGCCCCGCATTGTTTTGCCTTTTTTTGTGGTCGCGACAACTTGCGACATGTGCGTATTTTCCTCTGGCCTCTGGCCTTCTGCAGCAAGACACTTGAGTGCAAAGGCAGTTGAGTGCCTGCAAATTGGCATCGTTTAAAGGGGCCACCGCCGCCGCCACCCCGTTTTGTGCCCACTCGAAAAGCTGCCTCTACAATGTTGTTAACTGCGTTGTTAGCTGCTGGTCAAAGCAATTATTTGCTTAGTGCCGTGCCCCTCCCACCCAAGCAAAACGATGGCAAAACGAAGTTCTACCCCATCTACTCGTATGGATGTGTAAATTCATCTCTTTTTGAATTTATTAACCCACATTAACCACTTTCACTGGCATAACTTTCCGCTTATGTGGCTTCTGTAATGTGCCCCCGAAGCATGATTTTGTGGGGGCCCCTCAAAACTTTTCACTTACAAACGGAAGAGGACCCGCTCGTTGGGATCTCTTTTGCGGCTGGCCAGGGGGGCAACAAGGGGGCAAGCGAATACTCGTGTATTCACCTCAGCCCGCTAATGAATCACTTTTGCCGACCCACTGACCGCAGACTAAAGCACCACCAGGCGCCAGGCCACCAAGCACCACTTTCGAATGGTTCTGGTGCTCTGCGGTTCTCAAAAGCAACAAAGAAGGCGAAAAGTTGAGACTAGAACGACAACTGAACAATTTAATTAGCATAAGTTTCAGTTTCCCCTCTCTTTCAGAATTCTCTTCTCTCTCTCTCTCTCTCTCACTCTGTCTCCCGTACTCTGATTCTCTTAGCTATGGAAATTGAAATATCAAAGACCAGAAATGTTTTATGCATTTTTATGTTGTGCAAATAAGTTTATTTTATTAAAAGTTTCAAAAGTGAGAGAAACAGAAAGAGAAATGTAAGTAGGCACAGCAAAAAAAAAAAAAAACACCAAGCTTGAATTTCCATAGTCCATGCTTAGACCAAAAGATACCCACTTCTTCGATTTATTGTTTGTGGTTCTGACTTAATATTTTCCAAATCGAAATGATTCAGAATGATTAAACCTCTAGCTTTAACAGTTTTCAATATTTTAGTGGTTATGCGAAATTAAACGATCAAGAAGCACGCACAATTATTAGGGTACCCTGCAAATACAGGGTATTCAAGATACAGAAGCCTGCACCCTTGGTCTCTTTTTGTTGCCTCCCCTCACCAGCCCTGCGGTTCCTGTCAAAGTCATTGAAATTCAGTGCATGCATAAAAAATTAACTTGAGAGAGAACTGAAATAGAATCAGGAACGGAAACAGAAACAGAAACAGAGGCAGCAACAGAAGGAGCAACATTGGGGTAATTTAAAGTCGCGCCTTTTGAGCTGGCCAAAAAAGTTTCTCGAGTGCACACTCCAGCGATGGGCGAGCCAGTGGGGCAGCTTTGATGAGTTGCAATTAAAATTTGTGGCTTGGCCTTGCAACTGCCAGTTGCAGTGGCATTTGGATCGAGCTGATTCCACCACCTTTGACATTTCCCGCACACCGAGCAGAAGAGCAGAGCCACAGGCGGGCCCGTGTTAAGTTATTAACAGCCAAACTACAGATTTGGGAAAAAGTAAATAAGCTTTTTGACACACACTACCCACCACTGTCAGTCCGCCCCCGATACCGACAGAAGAGAGAGAGGGAGAGAGAGACAGAGCTTAGTCAGTCAGTCGGTCGTGTACATTAAATTCAATTGAATATTTCATAAGCTGCCAGCCAGACAGCAGACAGCAGACAGCGCGGAGTGCATGGAGTGGCAACAATAACCATTGAGAAAAGAATGCGCCAACACGAAAAGCGACTGCCAAAACACAAGCCGCTCCCATCCCAGCACATCACAACCGACCCACAACACACTCGACTCGCGCAGTGTCCGTAAAGTAAAAGTAAAAGCACACTTTTCGGGACTGGCAGGGCAATTGCCTGGCGTCTAGGCCCCCATGACTCTCGATGGTGGCACCCTGATAATGGCCGCTGAACTTTGCTTTATTACATGCAAAAAAAAAAAAAAAAAGAAGAGAAATGTTGGAATGGGAGTTAGCTGGGGCAATGGCACAGACAAAAGTTGTAGACAAACCACAAAAGACGGCAAGTGGCAACAGCAAAAAAAGGCGGCGAAACAAGAAAGAGACAACAGAATCTGGGCCCGAAGCCTCAGATACTCTTTAATTTACAAGACATTGAAAATATCTTTACTCAACTCCGCAAAACTACTCAAACATTTGTAAACGTTTGGTTGCATTAACTTAAGAAAAACTGGGGAAAAAAATAAAAATAAAACAATAAATGAATCTATAGAAATCCACTTATAAAAGGCAGCAAAAAAAAAACAAAACTAGAGCTCTGAAAAATAGCAGGGCGTGCATATAAAAGTGGCACTCAAATATATGTTGCCCAATAGGGGGAAAAGGAAAACGAGAAATGGAATGGAAAGGAAAGCCAAATATGAATAAAGGGGCGTGGACGGGCCCTACCAAATTGCCGCCTTATTAGTCATCCATGAATTATGCACCTCCAATTGGGAGAAACAGAAGAGGCAAGGGTAGAGGGTTGAGCTCATATTATCTAATATGCCACAGGCGTCTAGTTAAATAATTGACGTTCCTTCGACTGCGACCCTTGGCAGCCATGTGTGGATGAAGGAAGGTACTTATAAGTTATTCATTAAGTTATTATGTGTTTAAACCTCACACAATACAATGTGAAGGGCTTCTCAAGGAGTTTGCTCGCTGGCTTTTATTGTTTATTGGCAGGGCTTACATTCCACTCAGTATTTGCCCTTCCAGACTCTCAAACCTCTGTGTTGGCTCCTCTGCAACATCTTAAGTGCAGCGTCGAGTTGCTTTTACCTAGCTCCTTCCTACCTCCACCAGAAGAACACAGGAAATTGTTATGCTTAATGGCTTTTCTTTTCCTGACTCTGTTCTCCAGGAGTTGCAGGTAGGAAAAGCCTTTAATGTTAAACGCTGCTCCCTTAATAATTGATTAGTTTGTGGCTCATACATAAGTGGTTAAGTCTTTCTGCACCCCTTTTTCTTGGCTCCTGGCTCTGATTAAATCTCTCATTCCCCCTCTACATCTCTCTTTCGAACAGGAAAGTTCTATCAGTCCCGGCTTATGCCTTGAGTGGTTTACTGCCTTGAGATCTCTATCTTAAGCCCAGAAGTTGAATTGAGTTTGACTAAAGTTTCATTGCATACTTCAATATCAGCTGAACAAAATCTAGAGTCGTGGAATTAGTGGAAGAACCTTTGAGTTCTGTTCGCTTCGAGTGTTCGCTCATACGAGCATTTGCAAAAAGGACCAACTGGGACCAATTCCAGGCTTTCTGGAATTTCCGTCCTTTTTTTTTCTTCTTTTTTTTAATCATAACATAATGGGCCAGCATTATTGTTAATGGATTGCAAGTGTTGCCAGGCGGCGTCTTTCGCTCCTTTGGTTTTTTAACTTGCAAAGAGGCAAAGAGCTTTCCCTTTTCCATTCCCTATCCGCCTCCTGGCCGTCGAGAGCTCCGCATCCCATATGAGCAGCTGTGGAAGTCCGCTCCCGGAGTGCCATTGCTTAATGGCGCTAGTTGCCTTTTAAGTGTAATTGCCGTGTCCCAAGTGTTTGTAATGTGAACGAATTTTTGCGATTTTTCCCCGAACACAGAGAGAGAGTGGGGGCCAGCACAGCTCTCCTGCTGCCTGTCTGCTGCTTTTAAAATTATTACTATATTTGTAAATATGCCGGCCATGTAGACCATGGCCCTACAGCCAGCCCACAGCCAGCCCAGAGTTAAACCTTTAAGCGGTGCCCCAAAAATATCCCTTTAGTTTTGGTACTCACTGGCAATGTGCTCGTTGTGGAAGGCCAACATGTTTACTGTGTGCTCGGCTTTTCCGGTGTCCAAATATATGTTTTGTACGCGGCTCTCTTTACGCGGCTTAGCCCGTTGTAGTACGATGAATTTCCGCCTCTTCCGATCCTGTTTGCGACTGCTGCGGTGAATTTCACACTTTGACTTTCGGGAATCAACCGTGTTAAATTTTAGATGTACTGGTATAACCTTTGTTAATGCCTGGAAAAATAGTGCAACAAAATATATTCATTTAATATTATTAATTGCTTATGGGATGGCAAGGGTTATGGCTACATAAGTATTAATTGTTCAAATGAATAAACTACCGCTTGAAGTAACTCTTTCTGTATATATTCCTTATTCCTCATTATTCATGATATCTGCCAAATAATTAAGTTTCACTTCAGACCCGCAGTTTGTAGTTAAAATTCTACTTTTTGGCTTTTTTTTCTACTTACTAGCTATAAATTCGCTGCTCAGCCGATAGCTGGGGATGACTTAAAGGGCCCAGGCTTCTCTTGCTTTGGGTTTCACAAAATATTAAGAACATAACCATTAGTTTTAGGAAACAACTTTTAAGTGGCGCCGAGTCCCAGTAAACAACGAAATACAGACACATGAAAATTGCATTGTGCAGCAGGGGGCGCATTTGGCAGAACCCTTGGCATCCAGGCGGGAGCTACTACTCCCCGATTCCAGGCGGCGGCGGCTCAACGAAGCGCACACCCAACCAAACGGAAGCACATGCTGCGGAAGTGAATTTTTTCGCTTCCGTTTCTAGCACCGTAAGCAGCAGTAGATGAGTGTGGTGGGGAGTGGAAGAGCGAAGGCGAATGGCTAGGAGGTGCTACTCTTTATTAGTAGGGGGGAGTGACGGCATCGAGTGCATGGAACACAAACGGACAGGCGGGACAGGTCCGGACAGGCGTTCAAACAATCGAACCTAAATGTCAAAAATAAAATATGAACGAGAGACGACAGGCAACCAAAAGCAACCAAAACGATTGGCAAAACACTCATTCACTCAGTCCGCCATTCTGGCCTTCAATGAGTTTTGTTTTGGCCAAAGTTAGTTAACTGCCATGTCAAAAAAGCACAGCAAAAAAAATTCGATTAGCTGTGAAGGGAAACCAAAATAAAAATAAACAAAATCGCGCAAATCTTGAAGCCTAAAATTTGTTCTAAAATACAAAATTCCTGTTAGTGGTAGTAGGAAAATATTCTTTCCCCAATCTAGCATAACGCCTGGCAAGATGTATTCTATTGGCATTTATTTTTAGATGGATAGAAGAATAGAACCAGGCAGATTTTACTACATGTGGCTGCATCACAGGATAATGCTATGAGAAACTGTTCTTTTTTATTATATAAATATTTTTAGAACAAGATTCGGAGCACGGATTTTGGTGAATAATTAAGATAAATTCCATAGCAGTACTTCATGTTTACTCATGGTTGTCAGTGATCGGCAAACGTATGTAGCTCCTTGCATATTAAAACACTATCAATCCCATCAAGGCCTCCCCTAGCCTAAGGTTTCCTCTGCACAGATATTCCACCAAAAATTCCATAAAAATACTTTTACCTCTGCACAAAATAACACAAACTCACTCAATGGGCTTTGGGGGCGGGGTAGTGCAAGGAGAGTGCCAGTTGGACTCCACGTTCGAGTATGTCTGACTGCGCGACTGTGTAGCACTTCCGCTTCCGCAACGGAAGCTAATGAACGTAGCAGCCAGGAGGCAGACAGGGGCGCAAAATTACTTGGAACTGCAGGAGAATGCCTCAGAAAATCTTAAATTAATAATAAAAGACACGAAGCTTGCCTTTATCTGTGTGTCCTGGCATTAATGTGACTTTAATTTGAATAACTTTGTTGTGTGGTACCATTTGCACGAAGCGACCATAACTGAGAAATATGCCAGGAATTTCTGGCTTGGTGGAAATTTCTGAGACCGCGAAAGTGCAGAGAGGGCCACCGGCAAAGTCATCAAGTCAAGGACCACAGCCAGAGTCTCGACAGAAGGAGGCGAACTTCCATAAGGATATTTTGGCCACGACTTGGCACACAAATTAAAGTCGAAAATTAAATTTGTAACGCTTTCGCTTTTCAATTTGAGTCCCGGGGCCTGACGCCCATTCTGATTGCTTTTCCTGTATGCTTGAGTGCAGTTTGTAGTTATCTGTCAAGGCCAGACCTCAATTAAATGGCAGGCTGGTCTCTCAAATATTTTTGTTCCAACTATATATACTTACAGCATGTATTTGTAGGCAGTAGACCATTGCCAGTCCCAGCCATCGCTACTACCACCCTTGAGCAACTTTCTTTACATTGAGGCTTTTGGCCTAATTAGCAAATTGACAGCATGACGTTGAGTGGAAAGCCCACACCCAAAGCACAATACTCGCTAAGCGTATGGGTTGAGAAGAACTTGCCACAAGCTATGAGTGCAGAGTGCCATTCCACGGTGCCCTTACTTCTTTATGCAGCTTATTGAGGACATTGAAACTTTAATGAGCCCTAAACGCATGCCATATAAATATTGATTTTGCTTCTGCACGTTAATGTTGCCCCTCCTGCGATATTCTCCGTGGATACAGACAAAACACGTGGGGCTGCTGCTTTTGCTTCCAAAAGCCAGGAGCACACAACTTTTCCAACTTCCCCACTCTCACTCTCCCTCACGTGGGTGTTGTCTGCAACTTTTCTGACCATTCAACCATAATGGTGTGGTACATTGTAGCAAAAACAAAGGGCGAGCCACTACAACGATGACGAGGATGATGATGATAATAATGACGAAGACGTCGGACTGTCTGCCTTGCTGGCTCCTATAGGGTATATATATAAGCCTATCGATACACATAAAATAAACACCGTTTACTCGGCTTTGAGATTTCTGTGTCCATGCTGCAGCAGTTAAAATATTTTTCAGAGCCCCAAAATAACCACGACAAATTTTGCGAAATGTGATTATGCTTTTCTGCATTCTCTAGCCTAGCTGATGGTTTTTTTTTTTTGTGGGTTCTAACTGATGTAGACTTAAATTCCATGAAGTTTTTATTGCTGTTATTCTGCTTCTGTTGCCGGTTTTTCGTTAGACATTAGTCGGGGGGCTAAAGCCAAAAACCATGCATTGTTTGGGGTTTGTCTAGCCTTAATATCCTCCCCCTCTCGCCCTCTCTGACAGGGAAAACATAATGGAATTTTCGTGTATACAATTTGCATGTGCTTTCAGCTTCGCTTCACATCTCATTTGAGGTAGCTGTACGTGAGATTCTACTCCATCAATTAACAAATTAACCAATCTTTAGCGCATTTACTCCACTTCGCTTGAAGCTTTAACCTTTTGGCTTACATATCCCATTGCCTATGTTTTAGTAGTTTATAAAATTTATATTTTTCCATTGCTTCCAGCTATTTGTAAAGCTTATGAGCCCAAGAAAGAGGCTGCCTCCGCCTCCTCCCCACTAGCTGGTAAAGGGAAAATAAATCGCAGGATTCCAGTGTATATCTTTCATGTGTGTGTGTGTGTGTATTCTGTATGATAAATATAATGAAATAAATTTAATTACATAACCAGGGGCAGAGTGCTGAAAGAGAGCAGAGGCCGCGGCCCCATCCAGAACTAAAGGCCTTCATCGCTCTGCTTCTACTCAACTTTGGCGCCATGTTTGTGTATGAGTAAGCACACACACAGATACGATACTCCTACTCACACATGGATATGTATCTGTTGAGTTGTTGTGAGAATGTGAATGTTTATATGAATGCGCCTACTTAGCCTTTAGTTTCAAGTGCACGGCCTCTCCGGAAACCGCTGCATACAGCCACCATCCTCCACATCAGCGTGAGGTGATGCTCACCACACATGCACAGGTTCATTCAGGTGTATATCTGTGTGTGTGTGTGTGTATGAGTGCATAAGTTCATTTAGCTTTGGTCGCTGCTCATGTGAGTGCTCTTAAGTACGCCTTCCCATCTTCCAACTCGTCTGACCTGGTCCCCTGATCCTGGGGTCCATGTGTCCGTGTCTGACAACGTCCTCTCTTTCTTTCTCTTTTTATTTATCTCTCCTTCACTCTCTCTCTCTCACTCTCTGTTTCTGTCTCTGTCTCTGTATGTGTGAGTGACTTGTCGTCGAGTAATTATGAAAATTTTCAAAATGAGCTCGCGCGCCCTCTTCTTCTGGCCCAGTGTTAGCTTCAGCTTCAGTTTTTGAAAGTTGAGAGAACGAGTAATTAAAAATTTCATAGTGGAAGAACCCCAGTCCGACTGTTGGGTCGTGGTCCTGCCGTAGCATATGCTTATTTAGCTGTTGTTTCCCCTGGCATTATGCATATAAATTTTAATTAAATTCGTTTTTCCCATTCACCTGTCCTCTCCCACTCCCCCATGCACCTAGCAAGAGTAGTAGTGCATAGGCTTGCAAATCTAATTAGAAGACGGTAAGGAAGGGCATTTAGCACTAAAACGTGTTCCCATACAAAAGCAAAAGCCAGCTGCAATTAGTTTTCGTTAACGTGGCTAAGACGGCGCTTAGGCGGGCCGTTGAGCGGCTCGCATATTACTTATACATTAATTTCATATAAACGACAGTTTGCAGAGACTAAGATAATTCAAGCAGTTCAGTATCCAGCACTCGGATAGTTTCATCTGCAATCAGTCATTTTATTTCGTCATGCGATGATTGCTTTTTCATGGAATTTAGCATGCCTCTACTCCGTTTGTATAACAATATAATTGTAATTAAAATTTCATATACATTTACTCCAACGACAGACAGACATTCCAATGCTACCCCAAATCCCTAGGCCCGAGAGTAGAGCTAATAAAAGCAAAACAACAAAATGTCACAACTCTTCACTGATAATTGTTTTTATTTAAATGTGTCAACGCGACGAAAATTAAATTTCGAATATTCGTTTAACCTGGCTAGCAAATAAAACAGAATGCACTCATAATTAAAAGGGAATTGATCTAGCATTAATAGAGTTCGCAATTCAGATGTTCAAGCAGCGCAATGACAGGTGGGGGTTTCAATTGTTTTAGTTCATTCTGTAGATAAGTAGATATGTATATTCTCTAGCATGTATATGCTATGTATAAAGAAAATAATATGTGGTATATGTGGTGGACTCTTTGAGTATGCTGTACAAAAATAACCCTTTTCGATTTCTGTTCAACTTTTGTTCAACTCCATTCGCAGGCA